ACAAATACTATCATGGTCACTGCTCAAAGGAGTTATCATCTCTAGTTCCATCAACTAAAATTCATTCTCGTTTTACTCGTCATTCAGCTAAGTCTCATTCGTTTACTGTATCTGTCCCTGCATGCTCTAAAAACTTTTATTCATCTAGTTTTTTTCCCCGCACTTCAATCCTTTGGAACTCTCTCCCGTCTTCATGTTTTCCTGACTCATACAACCTTCAACTTTTCAAGTTTTCTGTCAACCGTTTTCTTGCTCTATAACTCTGTTCTTTTCTTTTCCTAAAAACTCCCAACTTAATAGTGGTTGCTTGCAGCCTTGTTGGGAGTGAATGCAAATAAAAAAAAAAAAAGCCACACAGGAGTATTGTTCAGAGGTCCAGTTAGTATAATGAACTTGCTTTAATTGACTTTTAATATAGTATTATTATTATCTATCTTATAGAATATTTTATTAGTTTCTAGGAAAGAAACTTACTGTGACCTGGAAAATACATATAATCTCAGCTCACTTGCAACAATTTATTGAACTTACTTGTGATTTTCTTGGACGATACAATGAACAGGCATCTGAATCGGCTCATTCAAAAATGAAGCCAATAATTGAACAATTAAAGCTTCACAAACAAGCTCAAAGCACTCTCTTAGAAGCAGAAGAATTGCTGAATCGTTCAGCAGTACTAATTTATAGATTAAAATTTTTAGATATTTTGATATATGTTTATAAATTAAAAACATTAAATACAAATAATTTTTTTAATCGTTAGCTAACAGTATAAAAAAATCTTAGTTTTTTTTAACACTTGCATTTTATGCAAATGTTAGAAATATGATTAACTATTGCAACATGAATAGTTAATCAGGTATATGAGTTAGGATAATAAGAATTGTCTTTTTAAAAGAATTTAACATTTTTTCTCCCCTTCAAAAAAAAATTCCACTCCATTTCAAGGCCATTACAACTTTTTTAGTGTTTGAGATAATTAACTTCTAGACATGTCGGAAACTCCAAACATTGATATTTTCATGTTTATGTCAAATAATGACGCTTTGCAAAATTTGTGAGGATTAAAACTTGGGAACAAAATAACCACTAAAGGTTAGCCCCCTACCCATAACAGGTAAAAAATAATTAAAAAAAAAAATCACTAGTATTAACTCAGTTTAAATTCATTAACAAATTTCAAGTTTCATGGAATAATCTCTTAGTGTTCCGTTGTTATGACCCACCAAAGTTTATTGTCCTCTCAAATTGAGGGGTATTCGAACTTTATATGGTCATAATTTTTGAACACTCAGATATTATTGCATGGAATTTAAAATTCATTGATGAATTTAAACTGAGTTAATAATAATGAAATTTTTTTAAATACAAACTTGTTTAGTTTGCGTTATGAACAGATACATACAGTATCCTGAAGAGCCACAGATAAAAGTTCCATAAAAATATTTGGGGAACTCTGACCTAAAAAATTAAAACCTATTTTTATGTGTGTTTATTCTTTAGTTTTTTATTTAAAGACAAAAGAAAAATACATTAATACTTTAATATAAAAAAATCATTAGCAGTGAATTGTTACTATATTTAAAAGGGTTTTAATATTAAAAAAAACATTGGTAAAGATCAAAATTTAATTTAAACGGCTGTCTTTAATTCAAAAGTTTGTTTTTTTTTCTTCTCAACAAATTTATACAACTTTCATTTTTAAAGTATAAATTTAAAAAATTTAAAATTTATACAACTTTTATCTATACTTTAAATTAAAACGTTAACAGTAACTTTATTTAAAAGCATTTCGCTAATATAAAAACGTTAGTAAAGATAAAAGTTTAAAGTTATTTATTTTTGACGCAATTAAAAATACTTTTTTCAGCACATTTCTGAAATGTTAAAAACCGTGGTCGAATCGCCAAAATAAAGTTATCCAAAATAAATATATATATATATATATATATAAATGTTACGACCACTACTCTCGCGGAATTGCGATATATATATATATCAAGCCTTCTCAGGGAAAGGCGTGCAGTTTTTTGTCTTGTATGACCACATGCAAGTATCTTATTTTAAACAACTTAAACACGACCGTTCGCAAGTTTTATAATAATCTATGTGGAAAAAATTTCAAAAACAAAAAAAAACAAAACTACCAAAATAAAAAGAGATTAAAATAGAAAAAAATAAAAGCAAATTAATAATTTAAATAATTTGTGTACTGTTTTTATTTTTTTTTCTTTAGAGTGGTTGTTATATTCAGCAACAAAATTAAATAAGGCGAAGCAAAAAAAAAAAAAAACAGTTTGAAGTCTACAATAAAAAGAATATTTTCCTTTTCTTAACTTTTTTTTAAGAGGATAGCAAAAATATAAATTGCAATGTGTTTGTAAAATATATTTGTATAATTTTAATGTAACAACAAGGATTAAATTAAGCAAATGCGAAAAGCAAAATCTGGAAAAATATCTACTATTCAAAATTTTCGTTTATACAAAACCGTGTTCCTTGTTTTTAAGGGAAGAATCAACTTAAATTTTTTAGCGAAAAAATAAAAAATAAAACAATAAACTTATGATTACAAAAGTAATAACACTCTAGTCACTAACTGCATTACAAAAGCAATAACACTATAATAGTGTTATTACTTTTATAACGCACTTATAACTTTTAAAATTCATTCTTTGTTCAAGCGGCATAAGTAATCCCAAATTTTAATTGAAGAATAAAGTGGATGTTCAAATAATATTTAAAACTTTAATAACTTATAAAAACGTGACAAACAACTTTATAAAAATGTAACATTTTAAAAGTTTAGCATTATGAAAAACATTACTAATGGACCGTAAAAATGTGCGTTAATTTTAAAATTAACCAATAAAATTTTTTTATTGGTTGACACAAATTAAACAATAAAAACTTTTTATTGGTTGATTTTAAAATAAACGGGCGTTTTTACGTAACGTTTTTTATAATGCGATCTGTGAAAGCTCCTGAAATTTTTAACAATATTTGAGTATCCGCTTTATTTTTTTCTAGATGCTTTTCTACTTTAATAAATGTTTGGAATTAATAATGTTGTTTGAACAAAGAATGCACTTTAAAAGTAATAAACGCTTTATAAATGTAATGACACTATTATAGTTTTATTACTTTTATAATGCAGTTAGTGACTAAAGTGTTATTACTTTTGTAGTCGTAAGTTTATTGTTTTGTTTTTTGTAACTTTCTCGCTAGCAAACTTTTAATAATTTGCTCCTTGTAAACAAAGTACACAGCTTTGCATAAACTAAAATTTTAAAGACCTAATATTTTACCAGAGTTTGCAAACGCGATCGTATAATTTAACTCTTGATATAAACTTGTTACATTGTAATTATACAAATATATTTTACAAACAGATGACGATACATATTTTCTCTTTCCTCTTTAAACGAAAAAACACATAAAATATGGGAAAGTCATCCTTTTTAACTCCTAAAACCATTTTTTTTTGTTTTTTTGTTGCTTTGACTTGATGAAATTTGTTCCCGATAAAAATAACCACTAAGAAAAAACAAAAATAAAAACAACACACAAATTGTTTAAACTATTATTATTGTTTTCTATTTAAGTTTACTTTAATTTCTTAATTAGTTATTAAATTTAAAACAATTTTTCAGTAACGCATATCATATAACATGTGCAAATAGCTGTGATCACGTTCTCTAACTTGAAAAACGTTTTCATGGTCGTATGAGAAAAAAAACTGCACGTCTTTCCTAGGAAGGCTTGATATATATATATATATTTATTATATATATATATATATATATTTTATATATATATATATATATTATATATATATATATATATATATATATATATATATATATATATATATATATATATATATATATATATATATATATATATATATATATATTGTATATACATATATTATATAAATATATTATATATATCAGGGCTTAATTTAATTTTTTATAAGATCGGACATTATCCGATCAAATTTTTGAAATAAAATTTGAACAAATAATTTTCACAAATATTTTCATATTTTCATATTTGTTAATTTAAAAGGAAGACAGGAAAAAGTTCTTTAAATACAGAGAGTAAAAAAGTACTGCAGACGGGTTTTCTAAGACTAGCTACTGGCGTATCTGAGTTTTACAGAACCCAATTATCCAATTGAAATATATGTTATGTTTTCCTAGTTTATTTTATTTTAGGCTAGAGAAGATGTAGTTTTTTTTCTTTATATTCAGAATTTTTATCATCATAGATCTTTTTAATTTAATTGAAATAGTTTAAATTCAATACTGCGCATTTTTTTAGATAGACTTGAAGTTTTATTGAGTTTTTTTCTCTCGAAAACCTTGTTAGTTTACATTGAATTGTATTACCTGTTTATAAAAGTTATGTAAATTTTTTTACTCAACAAAATATAATATGCTAAGAGTCAATTTTGCGCATAAGCTCCACTTTTAGCACCAAAAAGGTATTTATATGGCGTTCATGTAACTATTTTTATCAATAATAAAAACCGCAAGAAAACAAGTTTGTTATAGTAATATAGTAATGTCTTAAATATATTAAATATTAAGATAAACATATTATTTTAAACTTGATATAAAAAATTTAAACTTCGCTTTTATTTTTTAAAGGCGGCTAAATCAAATGCAATATGATTGAGTGTGTCAAATTTGAAAAACTTTGTTCTGAAACATTGACTTTATATTTACATTTATATTCGTGGTATTACATGCCTGTTACAGTGCATAAAGTTTTATTGCATAACACGGAAGTTATAAAGTCGTGTATTCTGATTGGCCAGCTCTCAGAAGAATCTCTGGAAGCACGAAATAAAGATTGTAGGAGATTTCGAGAACATCGCACTATGAAAAAGTCACGTATTTCTACAAATATGGATTTGCTGATTATGCTCTTAATAACATCTGACCCTGTTATCAATTCACTTAGAGAACTGCCTGCAAAAAAAAGCAAATTACCAGTAGAGGTTTTGAATTTGATTGTTTCGGCTCCAAGAATAGGAAATTATAACATAATTTGTCCAATGAATCAAATGATGAGTCATCTGACGATTCAAGTAATGAGTGTTTGGTGGATATAAACGACGAGTTTTTTGATAACTAAATATAAAATTCATTGTATAATATTATGTATCCTTATTTCATAAATATATTTTTTCTTTTTTACTTCATTTTTTTATTATAACAGTGGTTGTTGCAATGAGGGAGAATGGGGGGGGGGGGGTTGTAGGCAAGGGTTTTTTCCTCTATCATGCGCAAAAAAAACTTCTAAGTTATTAAAACCAGGATGATTATTCAATAAAACAACAAAATATTGTTTATTAAAACCATTCATGACTAGAACAATGGAATTCGCAAACAAAATATTTTTGTCCAGCTAGATTGAATGAAACAATTCACTGTGCAACAAAGAAAATTCTATGAGTTCTACAGGTTATTATTTATCTACTTTTCAAAAAGGCACTCCTTCTTTGGCAGACAATTTTTATAAAGCTAGAACTTTTTAATCTTATATATATATATATATATATATATATATATATATATATATATATATATATATATATATATATATATATATATATATATATATATATATAACAATCTTTATAGAAATAAAAAGAAAAAAAAAGTGTTTTTTCAAAGTTAATTTGCTCATTCGCATTTTATAATATCCATTTTGCGATCGTTTTAAATAAGCAATAATTTTAAATTTAATAATATAATAATAAAACTGTTAAAGAACAGTATAATAATATAATAATAAAACTGTTAATAATATAATAAAGTTAATAATATAATAATAAAACTGTTAAAGAACAGCCCTTTTTTTGGGAATGCTTCCATTATCAACATATTTTATAAGTTTGTCTAATAGTTTACATTTGTCAATTTCAAATCAACAATTGACAAGTTTAAATTTGTCAATTTCAAATCAACAAATAAAATTTTATTTTAAATTATTGAAAATTCCGCCAGACAAAATGGCCGATGACTTTGTAAATTGATCGGACAATCTGAGGTTTTCGCCAGTCAATGTCCGATGTCCAACTGTTAAATTAAGCCCTGATTATAAAAATATATATATATAAATATGTATATATTATATATAAATACGTATATATTGTAATATATATATATATATATATATATATATATATATATATATATATATATATATATATATATATATAATATATATATATACACAGGGGGAAGCTTGTCAGGAAGCGGGTGCGATCGCACTTGATAACTGACCACGGAAAAAATATTTAATTGCGAAAAACCGGCCAGATTTTTTAGTCGTTTTGAGAACATTTAAATTTTTTATGTTTCCTTAATTAAGTTTATTATTTTATCGTAAATTTTAAAATATTTTGTTTTAGGGACATACATGGAAACATACATAAACTCAAATGTTTTCAAACATCTTTGTGCAGAAAAATAAAAAAAAGTATATTTGCGAACACAAAAAACCCGCCAAATCTACAAACAACCAATTCTATTGGTTCAAAAAATATCAAGGGAAATTTCTAGAGTATTCTGCTGAAATATTTTTAAAAATTGTATTGAGTTTTTTTAAGTTTTCGTTAAGATTTCTAGCATAAATTGTTTTAAGAATATCAAAAGAACTATTATTTTAGTTCTCGGAGCCACATCCTATAAATGTATAAACTAACATTATTTATTCACAAAAATAAATGTTTTAAATTTATCTTTTTTAACTTGTCAACGTTTTGTAAATTTATTATAGATTTTATTAGTATATTCTTATTTTTTATATAAGAGATGCATTTTTTATGTATGTAATGTATTTTTATGTATGTATTTTTTATACATGTAATTTTATGTATGTGTATTTTATTCAAATTTAATCTTTTAAAGCAATTTGTGCGATTACAATTTGTAAACAAAAATACTTTCAATAACAACTGCGTTTTTAATGAAATTATTAATAGTCATCAAAGTTAATACAAATAATTTTAACCACTAAACATTTTTCCTCAGTGTACCTGATAACTGATTCTTTCCCCCAAGAAAGAAAAGTTTTTAAGTTCTTAGAAATTGGTTTACTAACTTTAATTATTTTTGCTTCAGCCATTCTTACAAACTTGTTACTCATTACTCATACCGCAAAAACAATGTTGGCTTAAATGACCTAGCATTTAGAAATTTGATATATTATGATAACTAATATGTCAGCCTATAAATAAAAGCAGTTTTAGTGGTTTTTTTATTTGTTAAATACTTTGGTATTTGCACCTGAGTACAAATTTCAATTATAGAAATGCGTAAAATACAATATTTGAACACAGCAGTAATAACACAGACATCTAAAATGGCTGCAGACTTTAAAACATTATAACAATAGATTATTACAACAATGTTAAGACAACATAGATAAATAAAATAGTACTTTAACTGAGTACTTCAATTTTAAAAAATTATTGATTGTTGTTGCATTCGTTTTAATGGCCTTATATCAGTCTTTTAGACTGGAGAAGTACTGGTTTGCTGGTAAAAGCATAACCGGTTTAACACTATCAACTCTGCAACTCACTTTGCTGCAAATTGAATGGAGAACGTCAAAACAATTGGGACATTGCTTTAGACCAAAAGCTTAACATTTCCTTTGTTTTCAAAAACATTCAACTTTACATTTAATAAATTTTTTTTCTTTCTTTTTTTTTTTTGGCTTCCTCCTTTATTGTTATCTTTCGTCAGGCTTGGTTGGGAAGCGGGAGGGATCGCTTTCGATTGCTGACCACGTAAACAATATTTAGTTGCGAAAAGCTGGCCAGATTTTTTAGTCGTTTTGAGAATATTTTAAAACGCAAAAAAAAAGCGCTCAAGAATAATTGGACCGATGATAGACAATTACAAAAAAAAAAAAAAAATTAGGCAAATAAAATGTCTTTAAACACGAAAAAACTTAAAGCTAAATTAATTACATTTTTAACAAATATTTTTGAAACATCGCTCTTTTATAATTTTTTTTATAAAATTAAGCGATGTTTTTTTATATAAAGTAACAACTTACGATTGTTTAAAAGGGAAACAAATATTCTTTATTTAACAAAGTTTGCAAGTTTTAGTTTCATTTAAGCTAAATTACTTTATAAATAAAAAAGTTAATTTTTTTAATACCTTGTTTATGTTTCGCGTAATTTGAAAAGTTTAACATATTTGAAATAATTCTTCTTAGTAAGATAAACAAATGAAATAATTAAATCATTGAATTACTATAGAAATTAAATTATCAACTAGATAGAAATCAACTAAAAAGGTTAAAAATACTTTATGAAGAGGAAGCGAAACTGCTTTACAATATCGCTGATGATGTTTAGTGAGTGGGCTTTTTAAATTTAATTAGTATTTAAAGCAGAAAAAAGTATAACGAGTTTTAAGAATGGCAACTTAAGCGAAAATAATTAGAGTTAGTAAACCAATATCTAGAAACTTTTCTTTATATCTAATTATTTGCTATATATATATTTGTGTTCTGTCGTGACCTCAGGCGCGGTGCTTGTTCATCCGCGAGTTACTTTGTATAGCGTTGTTTATGTTTAGTAACCAGAAACTTCTTATATGTTTGTTACATAATTAGTTTTATTAACTTTAACGATAATAACTTCATTGAAAACGCAATTATTTTTGTAAGTCTTATTTTAAATCATAAAAATTGCTTTAAAAGATACATAACGATAAAAAACAAATACACAAAATTATATTTACATAAAGAATACAATCTCCTTTTAAATAAAAAATAAGAATATACTAATAAAATCTATAATTTATAATAAACTTTTAAGAATTTAATGATAAAATTTTGACAATTTAATTAATATATATTTAAAACATTTATTTTTGTAAACAAATAATATATATTCTTAAAACAATGCTAGAAATCTCAAAATGTAACAAATCTTGAATAATACAATTTCTATAACATTTCAACAGAATACTCTAAAACTTTATTTCGCTTAATCAGCGTATTTTTTGAACTAATAAATTTAGTTTGTTCGTTAATTTGGCGGGTTTTTAGTGTTCACGAATATTCTTTTTATTCTCTCACACCAAGATGTTTTGAGAACATCTTGGTACAAAAAGTTTTTTATGTTTCCATCTATGTATGTAAAACAAAAGTTTTTTGTTTTGTACCTAAACTTAAATGTTCTCAAAACAACTAAAAAACCTGGCCAGTTTATAATTTCCGTGGTCAGTATTCGAGAGCGATCGCTCCTGCTTCCCGACCAAGCCTGTTTCATCATTTGTCTTTTTTTATATCTTTCACTTTTGCTGCAACATCTTTTCCACGCATTGAACCATAGACCTGAGTAATGCAAGTAGGTATTTTTTCAAGGTTTAGTTTGATTTTCTTAATAGTTATCAGAAATCAGATCAGAAATATTTTCTAATAATAAGCAGATCAGAAATATTTTCTAATTGGAGTCTTGGTCAGCCATTTCTCTAATCAAGATTTGAGACTGGTCAAACTTATGTTTCCAGTAACTTGCCGAACCTTTCTTTCTACCAACTGGTTACGAAATGGTTTACTCAGGTTTTTTGAAATAGTTTTTCTTTATGAATGCATGCAGCAGCTCACTCAAATTTATCTTGTTGCGTAAAGTAAACATTTAATTCAAAAGCTGTTATTCCAACTCTTTTTGCACTAGAAACAAGAACCGGTTTCAATGCCCATTTCTCCCATATATTGTCTAAGATGGTCATAAATCCCTCACTATTAATTGATTGCATTGGGTTGAAAAGATAATTCTTGACTATTCTGTACTCATGATGAAGATTTTTATTAACCTGGTCAAGCAACTGAGTTACACCAGTAGTGTCAGGAGGAGAAATAATTAATCAAACTTGTTTTGAAAGGAGGTATATTAAACCATCTTAACTGAATCGTGAACTATGTCTGTCAGATAATAAACAACAGGTTTTTTCAATAAGGTAATAATCAAATTCTTGGCACTGCTTTTTCTAATTGTAAATTCGTTGCATCTGTGAACTTTCTCCCAATTAATGCCTCAAACTTACTTTTTCCATGAATAGATTGTAATTTTTCCTTCCTGAACTGAATTTTTGGCTTC